TCCATCCTGCTTCCTTCCTCAGTCTCTTCTTCAGCTTCTCCTCTTCCTGCTCAGCTCCACCCTCCCTTGGGTGGGGCAGGGAACCTCCCCCTTTCCTGGGGACCACCCTGTTGCAATCTGACCTGGTTTGCCCCACCAATTTGTATTCCAGTTGTTTTATATTGGGAGTTTCAAGCTCAAGTCAGTAATCATTACTTTTCATCCTTGCTCCTATAGTTCTCCAATAGTACACCCTCTTTCCTAGATTCCAACTTTGTGCACTCCCTTATGCATTGCAGTGTTTGATCTCCGAAGTCCTTATGTTGGTGTGTGTGCCCTGAATCAACAACTGTAGGAGGTTCTGCACAATAGCCATCCCTCCCTCTTATGGACTGTATTGCCCCACTATCTGTGTAGACATAGGTTAATTACAATTTTCCCTACCCCTTTCCACCAGACCAGTGCTCTTCATGTGTACTATAGATGTCTGTTTTTCCTCTGGGGACTATTTTTTCTGCTGCAAATTAATTGTATATGGAGGCCAGCCCAACCTCTTCACTTAGCTGCAGTCTTGCTGGAGTCCTCTCCAATGAATGACTTTTAAGGGCTTAATCCTTCACCATTGCACTTCCAGTACATTTACTGTATTCCTCTCTACTCTTCACCCCCAGATTGGCTTAGTCTATAATCTATACTAGTAATCCAAAGAGATTAAAGGTATTTTCCATAAAAAAATTAGGTAATTATGAGTCTTAACAGTCCTTTAGTTTTCCATTATTTTACCAGGTATAACCATAGGTATTTATTTTTTTAGCTTTTATTTTTTTAATTTAAATTTTATTTTTATATTCCCCATACAATTACAACCCCCTGATTTTGACCCCAAGCCCTCCTTTCCCCGCCCCCCAGCCCCCATAGAGTGTCTCTGATTCATAGTTGTTTGTTGATTTTGATTTTTTTCTTATAGTTATTCTTTTTCCTGGTCCCTTACTTAAGTTTTCTAGATTCCTGCTATGAGTGAGACCATCCGGTATTTATCTTTTTCTTTCTGGCTTATTTCGCTGAGCATGATCCCTTCCAGCTCCATCCATGTTGCTGCAAATTGCATGTGTTTATCTTTTTGATTGCTGAGTAATATTCCATGGTGTATATGTACCACGTCTTCTTGATCCAGTCATCTATTTTTGGGCATTTGGGCTGTTTCCAAAGCTTAGCTATTGTAAACAGTGCTGCTATAAACACAGGGGTGCAGGTGCTCTTTGGAATTGATGTTTCTGTGTCCTTTGGGTAAATACCTAGGAGTGGAATTGCTGGATCATATGGAAGCTCTATGTTTAGTAGGTCAAGAAATCTTCACATAGCTCTCCATAGTGGTTGGACCAGTTTGCACTCCCACCAGCAGTGCAGGAGAGTTCCTTTTTCTCCACACCCTCGCCAACATTTGTTGTTGCTAGTTTTGTTAATATGTGCCATTCTCACTGGTAAGATGGTATCTCATGTAGTTTTGATTTGCATTTCCCTGATTACAAGTGATGTGACCATTTTTTCATATGCCTGTTGGCCATTTGCATTTCCTCTTCAGAGAAGTTTCTTTTTAGCTCTTCTGCCCATTTTTAACTGGATTATTTTCTTTGTTTTTGTTGAGTCTCATCAGCTCTTTGCAGATTTTTGTGATCAGTCCTTTATCATTAGTGTTGTGTGCAAAAATGTTCTCCCAGTTGGTGGGGTTTCTCTTTGTTTTGGTTATTGTCTCTTTTGCTGTGCAGAAGCTCTTTAATTTGATGTAGTCCCAGCTGTTTATCTTTGCCTTCACTATCAGTGCTTTGGGTGATGTGTCTGTAAAGATGTCTTTGATGTGCATATCATGTAGTGTTTCGCTTATATTTCCTTCTATGTATTTTATAACCATAAGTATTTATATAGCCACTTTATATAGCCATCCAGTTCTCACTTCATGGGAAGTTAGTGTAATCACTAACTACCAAGCTGTTTAAAAGTTTTAAACAGATGTTGTAAAGTTGTGGTTTGCTATATGCATTTAACACAGAGGTGTTGGCTACAGGATCAACAGAGCAGAGGGGTGGGAAGACAGTAGACCATAGTACAGGTCTTCCTCAATTTATGATGGGTTTACATCTTGATAAACTCATAATAAGTCAAAAGTAAATTGAAAATATTAAGGTTGAAATACATTTAATACACCTAATCTACAGAACATCATAGCTTAGTACAGCCTACCTTAATTATGCTGACAAAACTTCCATTAACCTGCAGTCTAGCTAAAGCTTCTACCACAAAGCTGAGTTTATAATAAAGTACTGAATGTCTCATGTAATTTATTCAATACTGTAATAAAAGTGAAAAACAAAGTCGCTGTATGGATTCTCACCATGAATGTACAGAGCTAAACACACACTGGGCCTGAAGAATGTTTGAAGCATTGAATTAAAATTAATTGCTGGATGATGGTTATGCTACAGCTAGGGTCATCAATTTCTTACTCTTCTGATGAAGCTCATTGTGGTTTTGATTTGTATTTCCTCATTGTCGTTTTGATCAGTATTTCCTACTGATAAGTGATGTAGATCATATTTTCCTGTGTCTGTTGGCCATATGTGTGTCTTCGTTGATGAAATTCCTATTTAGATCCTCTGCTTATTTTTTAATTACATTGTATATTTTTGTTATTGTTGAGTTTTATGAATTGCTTATATATTTTGACTATTAACTCCTCTGATATGTGATTTGCAAATATTTTATACCATTTAGTAGGCTGCCTTGTAATTTGAATGATGGTTTCTTTTGCTATACAAAATTATATAATACATAAGATTTTTTAAAAATTATACAATATATATGATTTAATAGATTTAGGTTAATACCTTTTCAGTTATATGGTACCATACCACACTTAACCACCAAAGTACCCATAATCCTTTACTATAATCCATTGTCTCTCCTCACAAGTCCCTTGGTTCTGCACACCACCCTTTCCCTCAGGTAGTCTCAATTCTATAGTCAGCTTATAGCAAGTGAAAAATGGAAAAAGAAGACATAAAACAGTGAATATGAAATACTACTATTTATGTGAAAAGCAAATTATTTTGGTGCTTTTGTGTATGCAAAATCTGAACGAATGCAGAATAAAGTCAGGGAACTGGTATTTGTTACTTCCAGGGAGAGAAACTGTTGATTGAGGGACAGGGATAGATGGAGACTTTTCACTATGTACTATTTTATACCTTCAAAGTTGAAGCCTTGAGAATGTGTTTCCTTTCAAAAGAAATGCAATGAAAAAATTGTAAAATATTACAAAAATTACAGTATATAAAATTGTGTTCCTATATTTATATAAAAAAATACACAGATGAATATGTGGGATGATGCACCCAGGTATACACAGGTGTGATATAGTGCCATACATATGAAGAGTTGTTAGCCCACCCACTAAATCATAAAAATTGTTGTATCATTTTTAAAAAATCCTATGCCTTAGGAGGGAGATGTGACAGGATGGGTGTACATGTGGAGTAAACATTTACTTTTTATGTTATACAAATTAAGCACATAAAAAAGGTCTTGTAGGGGGCCTCCGCTGGTGGCGCAGCGGTTGAGCGCTGGGCTGTGAAGCTGCCTGCAGCCTCTGCAGCACCAGTTCGATCCCCAGCCAGCCGGAGAGGGTCCCACATGGCATGACAGACCTCTCCTGCCTCGCCCGCTGCTCCCCTCAGCAGTGTGTTTCGTCAGCTTGCCTGTTATATTCCCTGCTCTGTCTCTGGTGAATTCTCTCACCCTCCCACGCTTCTGACTGTACCCAGTGCTTGTATAAATAAATAAATAAATCTTAAAAAAAAAAAAAAAAGAAAAAGGTCTTGTAGGGCCTCCCTAGTTGCACAGGGGTTAAAGTCTCAGCACTATCAAGCTCTGGCCAGCCACCCAGCATGAGTTTGAGCCCCAGCTGAGGAGCTGGCCCACATGGCACAGCAGACTTCTCCTGTCTCTCACCCGTTACTCCCCTCAGCAGTGTATTTCAATAGATCCAACTGTTTTGCTCCCCACTCTGTCTCTGGTGATTCCTCTCACCCCCTGTTGCCTCTGGCCTAAACCCCAGTTCTTGTATGCATAAATAAATAAAAATAAATCTTAAAAAAATAGGTCTGGTAGCACTGTGCCAAGAGAGTTCAGCATTTTTCAATTCAGCCATAAGTATCTGAGAGGCCCAGCCCTATTAAACTTGCTCTTGAGTCATATCATTCCCTTCAGGCTTTCTGATGGATTGAAATAGTAAGACCTTACCATGGAAGACTTGACAATGAAACAGTAAACAGGCTTTCAATCTTGCAACGACTTCTATGGAGTATACTGAAATTTCCCATATTAGAAGAGCTCTCTAGAAGACAAGTATGAAAAGAAAAGAGTAGAGAACCACATTTACAATTGTCTCAAAGGTAGAACTCACATTCAAGAGGCTAATTTAGTAGGGAGCTACTCAAAAGAGCTTGGGATTTGGAGTCAGAAATTCTTGTGTTTATGACCTGGCTACATTTTATAGTAGCTAAATGACTTTGGATAATCAACTGATCAACTATCCCTAGCCTATTACCTATCTCACAAAGTTATTGAAGAAATTAAATGAGATTTTATATATATATATGTATATATATGAATGAAAGCATGGGTGCTGTGCAAATGTCATCATCATTCATCACCCACAGTAGCAGAGATGAAGACGACTGGCTACATTAACTTCCTCTATATTGTCATAAAGAGCATTTGCCCTTTACTCCCAGAATCATATGTCAACTTTTATGATATGCAACTGCTAGAAAGTCTCTGAATCAAAATTTGGTATTATAACCTGTTTTTGTCACTGTATGGAAAATGGTAAGAATGAAAATTTCATAATATAATACCAGAAAATACTTGGTAGTAGGAAAACAAAATAGAAATTTGTTGTTGAACTTTGTCTTTCTGAACTCTTAGAAATAGCATAAACACTGATTTTTTTTCTTAATTTTCAGTTATCTACCTCATATTCTACCATGCCATCTTTGTGTTCTTTACCTGGACCTACTGGAAGTCTATTTTTACACTCCCACAACAGCCAAACCAGAAGGTAAGAACACTTTGTTACTTCATAAAGTCTAAAAGCAGAGGAAAGGAGAAATGCCATTAAGCAAGAAGATGGCAAAAAGAGGAGCAAATAACCTTTCATTACAGAAGATTCAGAGTAATCTTTTTTTTTTTTAAGATTTATTTATTTATGCATACAAGAGCTGGGGTACAGGCCAGAGGTGGTGGGGGGGGGGTGAGAGGATTCACCAGAGACAGAGTGGGGAACAGAACAGGCAAACTGACCAAAGTCCACTGCTGAGGGGAACAGCGGGCGAGCCAGGAGAGGTCTGCTGTGCCATGTGGGTTGCTCCCTGGCTGGCCGGGGATCGAACTCGTGCTGCAGAGGCTGCGTATTGCTTCATAGTGCGGTGCTTAACTCCTTGCGCCACCAGGGAGGCCCCCAGAGTAATCTTTTTTTTAATTGTATCATTTTTTTTATTGAAGTAACATCGGTTTACAACACTGTATGATTTAGGGGTACAGGCTCATAATTTTTCAGCTATATGTTACCACACCATGCCCACAAGAAAAGCACCAGTAATCCTCCACCATAGTCCTTTGGTCCTCCTCCCTCCTTTGTTACTACCGCCCCACCCTGCCTCTCGCTCTGGTAGCCTCAATTCTACAGTCAGAGTTCTAGGGTTTGTTTTGGTTTAGTTTTGTCTGTTCCTTTGTTTTGTTTCTCCCTATTCCACATATAAATGCAGTCATCAGTATTTCTCTTTCTCCTTCTGACTTATTTCACTTAGCATAATCCCTTCCAGTTCCATCCGTGATAGGACAAAAGGCAAGATTTCATTTTTTTATAGTTGAGCAGTATTCCATTGTATATATGTACCACGTCTTTTTATCTACTCATCTGTCATTGGGCACTTAGGTTGTTTCCATGACTTGGCTTTTGTAAATAGTGTTGTAATGAACATAGGAGTGCTTTTGCATTATTCAGGTAGATATCTATGGATGGAATTGCTGGATCATGTGGTAGATCTATTTATATTTTGCAAAACCTTCATACTCCTTTCCAGAGGAGCTGGACCAATCTACATTTCCACCAATAGTCTAGGATGCTCTTTTTTTCTCCACACCTCGCCAGCAATTGTTGTTTCTGGTCTTTTTGATATGGACCATTTTCACAGGTGTGAGGTGGTATCTCATTATGCTTTTAATTTGCTTCTCATATTCAGAGCAATCTTATAAATAATTCTCAGCAATAAAGGTAAATTAAGATAGTTTATTGATGGACTTTACAAAATCATCACCTATGGATATCTTTAAGACTAGGAAACCACTACCTGCATTAGTGAAATAATTGGAGAAACAAGAACCCATTGGATTCTGAAGAATTACGTAGTTCAGTTCTACGAAACTATTATTTTAGTGACCATGAGACTTTGGAAGACAGCTCAAGAGAAAAAATTGCAATTGTTAAAGTGCAAATGTGTTCCCTTAGATTAAAGGTTCCATGCAGTATTTGGGAGGGTTCATCATAGAATTTGCAATCAGATCAGGCATTTATAATGTGTGAGTATTCTAAGACAAATTAAGTTCCAAAGTATTTTTAAAAAGTGGAAGAAATTTTAAGTCTCCAAATATCAGGTAAAATACTGTTTTAAATTTTTTTCATTTTTGGAATCAAAATGGTAGAAAAAAATAAAATGAAACAATGGCAATAACGGAGTACTTGAGTAACAAAAGATATAAACTATATAAAAAATAACAATGGCAGGGCCTCCCCTGGTGGCACAGGTGGTTGAGCGCCTCGCTGGGAAGCTGTCAGCAGCCTCTGGAGCGCCGGTTGGATCCCTGCCGGCCAGCAAGGGTCCCACATGGCGCGGCAAACCTCTCCTATCATGCCCGCTGCTCCCCTCAGCAGTGTATTTCGTCAGTCTGCCTGTTCTGTTCCCCGCTCTGTCTCTGGTGAATCCTCTCACACTCCCACCCATCTGGCCTGTACCCCGGTTCTTGCATAAATAAATAAATCTTTAAAAAAAATTAGCAATGGCAGCAGTCCTTCCTTATGAGTAATCATTAGAAGCATAAGTGGATTAAAATACCCAATTAAAATGCAGGCATTGGTATAGTGGATAAAATTGATCATCTATCTTTATTCTATTTTTAAAAGATTTACTTTATAACCAAAAACATAAATAGGTCAAAAGTGAAAGGATGCTATTCTAAGCAAATAATTAAAAAAAAGAGAACAAGGGTGGCTATACTAATGTCACATGAAATGGACTTTGAGCCAAAAACTGTTAAAAGCCACAAAGAAGAAAATGCCTTTACTGAGTGAGGTCAGAAATAGGGCTGGGAAGTCTCAAGAATCTAATTAAGAACCTGAAGCAACACAATGGAAGAAAAAAAAATGGATAATAACCCTACAGAAAGGATTGCTGGGATAATCAGCATTGCTGAGACATTGGAGAAGGGTGAGAAAAAAAGAAATGGAGTGGAGGCTATGAATATTAGCTACACAGTGGGTGCCAACACAGTTCTCAGTGGCTACTTTGTTAAGAACCCTGCCAGAGTTTGATGCTAAATACCTCAACAGCCCAGGACGGTTTCCTGCAGCTTTTATAAGCAGTAGAGGACCCCATGGTGTTTGTTGGTGTGTACCCTAGCAGCATGCTTCTCAAAGGATACTGATACTCTCAGCTTTTGCCACAGAGACTCCAACGCTGTGTTTTCCCATGCCCCAGATTTTGGAAATACCATCACTCTACAAATTCCCATGCTTCAAACCTAGTTCCTTGGCCACTCTACAAGTGCCCACACAATGAAAACTGAAATGCTGCTGCAGAAATAAATACATTAGTGACTAGAAAAAGATCAGAGAAACTAAGAGTCGGTTTTTAAAAAAGATAAACAAATTTTATAAACTTTTAACCAGACTATTTAAGAAAGAAAAGACTCAAGTAAATAAAATCAGAAATGAAAAAGGAGATGTTATAACTGATGCCACATTGAGAAAAGGGTTATAAGAGATTGCTAATAACAATTGATAATTGAATAACCTAGAAGAAATGGATATTCATAGCAAAATATAACCAGCCACCTGAAACATGACGATATAGAGTATCTGAACAGATCAATAATGAGAAAGGATTTTGAATTAGTAATCAAAATCTACAAACAGTGAAAGGTCTAGGACATATAGCTTTACTGGTGAATTCTACAAAGCATGTAAAGAATTAACAGCAATCTTTCGTATACTGATCCAACATATCAAAGAGGATAGTATGTTTCAAAAATAATTTTAAAAGGACATTATTATTACCATTAATTCAAAACCAGGAACTACAAGAAGAGAAAATCACTGGCCCTAATGAACATAGATGCAAGAATCCTTAACAAAATACTAACAAACCAAATTGTACAGCATATTACAAGGATCATACTCCACGGCCAAGTGGGATTTATCCCTGGGATGCAAGGATGGTTTAATATAAATCAAAAAATAGGATACATAGTATTTACAAGATGCGGTATTTAAAATTATATTACTTTCTTACTTTCACATGATTTTACTTATATGTGTAATATAAAAAAAAAATAGAGAAACAGCCAAAACTAAACAAAAACAAGTACCCTAGAAATGTGATTGTAGTATTGAAGCTACCAGAAGGAGAGGTGGCAGCAAAGAGAGGAGGGGGCATAATGGATTATGGTGGGGGATTTTCACTGTTTTAGTGTTGCATGTGGTGTGATAACATAAATTTGAAGAGGTGTGAACTTACTCCCCTACGTCATATATAGTGTTGTACACTAGCATTACTTCAATTAAACAACACAATTGCAGAACCCAGTTTTAGTGACATAAACTTAAAAGTTATTTTATAGAGAAATTTTTGTTTTCACTTGAAGTTATTCTCTGTGTATACCATAGATCTGATGGATAGCTCAGAAATAATTGTTAAATGAAACAATAGATGGGTAAAATTATAGGACCATATCAATAGCTGCAGAAAAAAGCATTTGACAAATGTCTCTCAATGTGATAAAGGCCATATAAGGCAAGCCCACAAGTAATATATGACAGCTTTTCCTGTAAGATCAGGAATGAGACAAGGATGTATCCATTCTTACCCCTTCTGTTCAACCTAATATTGAAGTCCTAACAAGAACACATAGGAGGGCCTCCCCGGTGGCGCAGCGGTTGAGCGCTGGGTTGCGAAGCTGCCTGCAGCCTCTGCAGCGCCGGTTCGATCCCAAGCTGCTCCCCGGCCACCAGAGGAGGGTCCCACATGGCGCGAAGACCTCTCCTGCCACCCGCTGCTCCCCTCAGCAGTGTACTTTGGTCCTTCTGCCTGCTCTGCTCCCCGCTCTGGCTCTGGTGAATTCTCTCACCCTCCCGGGCTTCTGACTGTACCCAGTGCATGTATAAACAAAAAACAAACAAATAAATAAATAAATAAATAAATAACATGCCTCTATTAAAAAAAAAAAACACATAGGAAAGAATAAGAAATAAAAGGCATCCGAATTAGAAAGGAAGAAATTAACAATCAGTGGGCCTCCCCATTGGTGCAGCAGAATGAGCACGGCGCTGTGTAGCTGTCCGCAGCCTCTGCAGAGCAGGTTCGATCCCGGCCAGCCAGGAAGAAACCCACCTGGCACAGCAGACCTCTCCTGTCTCGCCCACTGCTCCCCTCAGCAGTGTATTTCATCAGTCTGACTGTTCTGTTCCCCGTTCTGTCTCTGGTGAGTCCTCTCACCCTCCTGCACCTCTGGCCTATACCTCAGCTCTTGTATAAAAATAAATAAATCTTTAAAAGAAATAAAACTCAAGCCTTTAAAAAAAAAAGAAATTAGCAATCAGCAAAATGAAAAGGCAGCCTATGGAATGGTAGAAAATACTTGCAAATTTTATCTCTGATAGGGCATTAATATCCAAAATATATATGGAACTCATGCAACTCAATATTGGATAAAGAATTACCCATTAAAAAATGGGCAAAGGACCCAAATAGAAATTTTTTGAGAGAAGAAAGTAACCAGTAGGTC